GTGTGTGTGTGTGTGTGTACATATATAAATTGTGCTGACAAATCAAAGAGAATAGTTCACATTTGAAGAGGAAAACTGAAAACAAGAGAACTGCCTACTGTTATCTCCATTTCACCTAAATTGTATTTTTTTTTAAATCCCTCGCCTTCCACACACACTTACACGTGCACTCATTTTTACTAATTAGGTCCAGGTCATATTATTCTAACAATATGCCTACCAATGATCATATCTATGATGTTAAATGGACTGTACTTACATAGCACCTTTCTGTTTTATCAAGATACTTAAAGCTCTTTACAACACAATCTGTGCCTCATTTCCCCATTCATACAGCACTCTACTAGATCTATACAAAGAATAATCAGAACTTTATCACATTCATACACTGATGGGACACACATCGGAGGCAATGAAGGGTTCAGTGTCTTGCCCAGGGACACTTAGGCATGTGACTGCTGGTGGAATTGAACCCTCAACTCTTGCATTGGAGGACGACTGCTCTAATCACTCAGCCACAGCCACCCACAAATGTTAGTATGATGTTAGCTGTTTTTCATATTTTCATATAATTTCAGAGGTGACTTTACAACCTGCCCCAGCTGTGACCTACAGAACCATCGGAGGAATCCTTGATTTCTACATTTTCTTTGGAGACACGCCAGAACAAGTGGTGCAGGAGTTCCTTGAGGTGATTAAAATAAAAAAAAAATAAACAATACATGAAGCACATGTATTGTCTGTAGCATGCATCTTGTCTGTGTGAAATATTTTGAGTACAGTGGAAATATTGAACTGATGGTCGGTCACGTTTTCCAGCTCATTGGCAGGCCAGTCATTCCTGCTTACTGGTCACTTGGATTCCAACTTTCTCGGTGGGACTATGGAAACATGAGTGAAGTCAAGACAACTGTGGAGAGGAACCGTGCTGTGGGCCTCCCATATGTAAGATCCAGTCAATGTATCTCCTTGAATTTTTAAGTCAACATCAAAGGCAGAACAAGAGGAGCAGTGGAACAAGAGCAAACATTAATATAATAAAATAAACCAAGGACTGCAAAACTAACATAAAAACAGGGACAGAATTCCAAACCAATAATGAACATTTCAACCACAGCTTTGTGGTCTGTACCTTATCTTCTCACATGTTGGGCACTTTGCGATATTCAGTATATGAGTCCTAAATATTGGTCATAAATAATAATCTTACTTCTATTTCACATGATTTACAATCCTAATAAAAGTAAATGATAAACTCTGATTTAGTTAATGCTGAGCTACGAAACAAGGACTTGTTAGAGGAAAAACACCTGGAAAAAACACCTGAACTGGTTTCACTCTTTCATTTAAATGTAATCATTTTTCTACTTGGATATAAAAAAATCAGGGACCTTCAACGTTTTCAGGGAGGTATATGAAGAGACCTTGTGCTCACCCCATATTTAATGTTTCATCTGCCTGTTCACTACTCTGTAGTTTCAGAGGCAATACTGCCAACCACTATCTGTGAAGACGTAATATGAAGGTTGGCGCTGGAACTCAACAGAGTGATAGGAATGGCCTTTAGTTTAGATTGGGTAATCCAGCTCTCTGTCAAATAATGAAACATCTACTGGGGTGTATAGGTTCACCCCCAGAACCACCATTTTTCAAGAGTCACCAAATGTTAGTGCTGATCAAAGATCAATTGACCAAGCTGTTTTTTTTTTATTATCTCATTCATCTTGATTTGAATGCCAAAACTGTACTCCCTACACCTTGTGGCTTCTGAGCCCAGTGATAAAACTCAGATCTGGCTGGCAGTTTCAGGAAGAATCCTCACCACTCATCATAGTCAGGTCTATGAAAGCAAGCAACTGTTAGAAGTCCCTTTCATCAAGAAAATTGATGCTTGATGTACTTCTTTGGCTCCAATCTTCATATAAAACTTTATTTGAATGCGTATGTGGCTCTGTGAAACACTTGTGTGTCCTAATTTAGTTGTGATTGCACCGATCAAGAATTTGGTACGCCATAATATTTAAAGATCAAATGCCAACAACTTCCGTGCCCATCTCTATATTTCCCTCTGATAATCTCCAATCCCTCTTTCATATCCAGAACGTTAGGCTGCAGCTGCTCCTTCTCACATTGTACTCAGGGATATGTCTGATAACTGACAGATAGACCACATCGGGTATTATCACATGTTCCCTAATGTGGCTGGAGCTGATTACCATTAGTGGAAAGACCTGGCAGAGCCTTCCAATCCATCTGTTCAAATGATATGAGGAAGGATTTGGCAAGCATCAAACAGAAACCAAGCATAAAGTCACACCCTAGCAAAGATACGGAAATTAAAAGACATCTTGATGGTTTTAGGTCTAAGGGGAAAAAAAGAAAAGATGTTTACCTTTGCTATCTGGTGTTCAAAGGTTCAACAGAGATTTCAGAGCACACATATATCACAGTGTTTTACCTGAAAGTGGGACTATACCATGTAAGGAGAAGCTATTGGAGTCAAATCCAGCTCTTAAATCTTTAATGAATATGCCAAGATATAGGCGATTCGTAGAATCGTGTTTTTTTTTTTTAATGCTCAAAGGCAATTTTGTATTCATAATTTCTATGTAAAATACAAAAACATATTTTTGTTAATTGATGAAAGCTGAGCCTGCTTTTCTAAGTATGTGCCGACAAGGACATCTAGTTTCTATGAAGCATTAGTGAGCAAAGTGTGTGTTTGTGTGTGTGTGTGTAGTATGTAACTCTCTTTTTTGGTGGTTGAAGGACATTGCAGCCACAAGAGTAACCTTACACAAGCAGTAATATTTGTTTTAATCAGCATCGCTGTTAGCTGAAACAGTCTTAGTTGTAGTATTGTTTTCAAGGATAGAAATAAACACTTAGCAGAAACCAACTCTCACGTTCATGTTCAATCTAGCCTTAGCACTGCGGCACAGCTAGCAGGAATTTAGAAAAATAGCAGTTTTGAATTTCTACAAGCTTCAAGATAGCACCTCAGTGTAGGATTCTTTATACGTTTATCGATTTTTGCCATGTGGTAACCATTGTAGATGGATAATTAATGTAAAAAAATGTAGATTCAATATTTTGTTGCTGAGATTGTTGTTTTGCTACTAGCCACTTCCATTAAAAAAATATTCAGTGAATGAGCAATATTATATCATCAGTCCTTGAAATAAAGTCTGGAAATAGTTAAAGACACATTATCCAGGTATCGACATTTACATTCATTTATCGATATTTATAGTACAGCTACATACAGCTACAGTGCTTTGTTTACCTGCAGCCAGACAAATTAAGTTATCTTCATGTCTGCTGTAAAATACATTTGCACCATCATACTGACCTCGAATGTACTGTACTCTAAAAAGACTAAAACACATATTGTATATGTTAAACGTAATATTAATTCATTTTCACTGGAAGTTAACAATAGTTTCATGTACACTCGATATACCTATTAAAATCTGTTTTCTTGTCCACATACAGGATATTCAATACACTGACATCGACTACATGGAAGATAAGAAAGATTTCACGTATGACAAAGTCAATTTTAAGGAGCTTCCTCAGTTTGCTGAATACCTGCATGAGAAGGGGCAGAGGTACATCCTTATTCTGGTAAGAAACACTTTATTTTTCATAAAACCTGTGGACATGTGGCACAACAGCAAATATATCACCCAAATGCAAATACAAAAATATATACAATTTCTCCAGGCAACGTATCTTTCATTTCAGACTTCTGATTACTAACTTATGTTAATGACATTTAAGTTTTGTTTTTCAGTCTATAATAATGCTTGACACCACTTGTTCACGAGCACTTGCCCTCATTTAAATTGAACATAATGTGAATGCAATGTTTTGAGTAATGACTGGCTCATAATTGAAAAATGAGTTTTTTATATATGTATATATATATATATATATACTTTTTTATGTAGTGCTTTAAAAAATAAACTCTAGATTGTTGCATCATCACTTAAACATGGACTTAAATCAGCTTTGGTTCTGTAAATCAAATCACTGAAAAGTTCAATGACAGTTTCTTTCTAAATAATTGTAATGGTGACAGTGATTTACTGTAGCTTGCAGTAAATATTAAAACTCCAGACTTTCATATAAGGTCTATGTTTAAATTAAGTTGGTGTGCATTACTATTCTGATGCATGTATTTCATTACTTCCAGGATCCTGCAATAGCCACAGGTAAGAGGGTAGGGGGTGCTCCATATGAGTCCTACGACCGTGGGACTGCGAAGAACGCTTGGGTCACAGAGTCAGATGGAACCACTCCGCTGCTAGGAGAGGTGAGCAGAATTTGTTTCTGAAATACAAGGTTGTAAGTAAAGCTGAATCCTGCAGAGCTTGACTTGATTTTTTCTGTGATAGAGAACGGGGTACAGGGATTTGAATTGTGTGTAGTATACTACTAGCACCCACTCTCTTTATCTCATTTTAACCAAATCTAAAATACAAATCATTTTATGGAGGTGCAGGTGGAAATTAAAGTACAGCTTTATGGAACCTAACTGTTGTGTACATTAAATAGAAATTCCACAAAAATTTAAAATCAATCAATCAATCGATGTAAACTAGACCTCTAGTTTACATAGATCCCTGACAAATATACAACAGATAAAACAATATAGTGGCTGATAAAAAATGCAAATGTTCACCTATGAAATTTTATGATTGAAAACAGCACCTCACTGATTATTAGGAAGTTGTTCAAAAAACTAGAATATTTTGAAAAATGAATGCATTTATACAGCGTTAAAGGTTCAAGTTCCAATATGTTGCTGAATAAATATAATAAAAATGACATGCTTCACTTCTGAAGCCTACATTATTAGTAGATGATTTTAGAGCTCGTCTAGACTACTTCACATAATTTTAAACAGCTTTATTTCTCTGTTTATATCTCTCTCCCTAGGACTGTAAAATAAAAAAATAAAAAATACGCCTACAATGACACTGTGGTGAGGATGTCCAATTATGTATTAAGCATTAAGGACAAAAACACAAAAAACAATGATAGCACAACTTTATAACATCCTATTGAAGCATTAACATTTTCACAGTTTTCTTTAGTTTAATACAAAGTAATGATGCGAATGAACTACTCATATTTTTAAATGTTCAGAAGAGAGTCAGCATTCAAGCCTTCTCTTTATGTAGCTGCCAAGAGCCAAACTGTGCAGAAGTTTTTTTTTTCTTCCCCTTTGCTCCTACCTTCAACAAAGATCTTGTACAATAAACAGAAATTCAGATTCTTGCATGTTTGTCTATGTGCGTGGTTACCTCACAGCCTCTATCAAGTCATTTTTATGTTTTTAAAAGAAAACTCAAGCACCCAGAACATTTTTTTTTATCATTTTTCCCCACAGAGCATACATTTAAAGGCTCTTTTCTGCAAATTGTTGAAGTGGGGGGAAGGAGGGTGTGTGTGTGTGTGTGTGTGTGTGTGTGGGGGGGGGTAGAAGTATGTTGCTCCCCTGCTTTTATAGTGTTGCCTTTGATTACACACACGATTAGGCCTAGTCTCACCCACTAATCGCCTCTTCATTCTGTTTATGAACAGGTCAAACATGCATCGATTCTGCATTAGTGTTTAGGTCTAAAATGTTCTGAGTCACTGCATGACAGATTAGAGTGGCAGCTTTTGTGTTGTGGCAATACGTTTATGAGTTTGTTATGCGTCTTACAGCTTTTGCATAAATTGATATTCTGGGCACAACTGTTCCTTAAGTTTGTGAGTCTAAATGCATTTTATTTTCACTGATATGTTCCTGTTAAAAATAAAAAAAAAAGTCAGGTAATTTCAAAACAACCTTTGCTGGCTCTGCACAAGCAATGAAGGCAATACAGCGACAGGCTGGTATTTGTTTTGCTTTTTATATAAGCTAATTGCTTGCAAAGATAAGAATACAAGCTTTTCCTGGTGGCTCATATGTTTCAGTCCAGGAGTAAAAAAACAATGGTTTACCTCTTATAGATAAAAATGTCCCTCTTTGCCAAAGATGTAAGAACAAAATAACATATGGAAATAAATAAAGTACGTGGGAGGACATTTAAAAAAACAGTTTATGTGGGTTAAAGGTGAGAATGACAGACAGGAACAAAGACGATAAGCACACAGGCAGAAACAGATAATAGATCAGCAGTGAATGTAGATAATAGATTAGAATGTACTCAGAGACAGACTGGCTGTCTTACAGAGTAGCTGACAGAGACTTATACAGGAATCCAGCCACAGTGAGACAAAAGAACAGATTATCAGGTACACAGAACAAAGGGACAGACAAGGTGGAAGTTAAGGAACCACTTTGAAGACAGCACAAAGGCAAAGGAACATGGGGAATCGGGTAAAAGAGAAAGGAGATGGATTGGCAGGATGGCAAAAAGGGGACATAAAAGCAGCAAAAGACAAGAGTGTGATATGCAGCTTCAAATACCAGCAGATTTGTTTCAAGTGTTTGCCCTGTTGTAAGTGTCAGCAGAAATCTATATGTGACAAAATCTTAAATTAAATGAAGAAACGACTCATAAAAGACCAACGGTGTCCACGATAGTCTATCAACAAGCTCCGACCTTGGAGTTCAGACCACCTGCCAAAAAATCAGCCTATAAATCTGCCTGTATGCACGTGAGCGTGCATAAGTGTGATCCACGTCTTTGCTACAAACCAGCTTGTAATGTTATTTTCAGCAGAAGTAAAAGGTAAAAGACAGCCAGTGTGGAGCAACCTTGAGATTTAATATCTCTGCGCTCTCACACAGAGATCCTGCATACACACAGATACACACAGTGAGAAAGGAAATCTCTGCCTCTGCCTGTGGATTAATCATTTTTCTCAATACATGTCATTAAGGACGACTTCTAACACACAGTCACGTCTCGAGATTTCTATTGCATTATCGATTTCTTCGCCTCTCTGTTCTCTTCCTCGACTTATCTGTCTCTTTATCCCCTTTCTCCTTTGCTAGCTCTCCCTCATCAATCCCCCCATTTCTCCTAGTTCATTTCTCCTTTTCCTCCGTTCTCTTTTCTTTGTCATCGCCACATCTCAAAGCTGTCTCTCTGACACCCCCACAGGCAATGTGTTTTATTTCCACGGAGCTCACTACTCCTACACTGTTTCGGCTCAACACGCCCTGTCACGTTGTTAGCATGTGGTTAAAGACATGTTCCAGATGCTTTTGACACTTGAATAAAAGGATGAAATGACTACAGTGTTTTAGTACCAGAAAGTCCTGTCAAGCTTGAAGAAAACTTGAAATTTATCCTGCCATTAGGGACGCTGTTACAGCGATGCCAAGCTAATGTTATCCTAGTTTGTTATTTCCAAAACCGTTTTGAAAATGTTTGTAATGATTGTAAACAAACTGTTATCTCGCATTCCCTCCCTCGCAGGTTTGGCCAGGGGAGACGGTGTTTCCAGACTACACCAGCCAAAACTGCATCGATTGGTGGGTTGATGAGTATGAGCGATTCTACAGGGAGATCAAACACGATGCCCTCTGGATTGTAAGTCTGTTTCAAAAACATGAAGTGAACTCCATAATTAGCTGCTCAATAGCTGTAAATTCCAAACCGGGCATGGTTTTGAAGCCAGTTACAAACACACACACACGCACACACACACACACAGAAGGACAGTGAGCCTCATTTTTTGACATGTTCACTGGCAATTACTTTCCTTTGTGTTGAAAAGCATTAAGAAAATGGTCACACCCCACCCCCATTAAAAGTCTATTATGTAGCATTCTGATCGTGATTTGTTAGATAGAATTTCATGTATACTCACTTATTACTGACATGTTTTTCTGTCCCTGCACACACACACTCTCGCTTTTATGACAGCAAGTAATAAATACCATTAACAGCTTGGCTCATTATTTATTTTTTCCTTAATGTGCATCTTTCAGGACATGAACGAGGTGGCTAATTTCAAGAAAGGATCAACTAAGGGTTGTGTTGATAACAACCTCAACTACCCACCTTACACTCCAAGTAAGACTATTTTTCAGAAAGGTTATGAAAAGTTAATTTGTTACTAAGGTAGATAACTTTTTGAGAAACCTTTTGAAGAAGTGAAATTAATCCTGAACACATTAATGAGCTAATGGCTTGTCAGAGCAGGGTCAGTTCCAATGCAAGTTGCAGTAGTTTCAAAACAACTCCATCCACAAAAGTTAGCGGCTCATTCTGATGTTATTTGTTCAGTCATGACATTGCTGTTAGTTGTTCCATACACGGTTATTACAGCATTCTGACATCACACCACTGGACTGTCCATTTGGGTAAATTCAAAATTTTATTAATTTTATTACTTCCTCTAACCGAGTTTGTTCCAAAAGTTATCTGTCGCAGGTAGGATTTTATTTACAAAGTATTTTTTTGCTACAGCACCTCTTTATAAATGATCTGAGCTATATTTTTAAGCTGCAGTAACTTATTCAAACATACTAAAGATCATTAAACAAAACATTTGTTGTGCTTGTGGTATGTACTTTGAAGTCAAATAATGCATAAACTCGGTTGCAGTTCAAATAAAATAAAGTGCATGCTTAGTAAATAATTGTGTATAAAACCTTTGGGCCGTGTCTTTTATTCCAACAATTTCTAAGACAGCATGAGCATAACTGGAAAAGGCATTATTCCATTTTCATTGCTCTCCTCCTTAATCATCTACTTTCTCAACATCTCTTCTTTCCCCAATTTGCTGTGTCAACATTTTCCTTTGCAGTAAATATCAGGGTTTTTGAAATTCTCTACACCCTCCTCTTTTCCTTCCCCCTTATTGCTTCACTCAACTTTTCATTATGTATTATCAGTTTTTCAGCAATCTATATTCCATCTCATCACTTCCTTTATATTTTCTTTCCCTCTCAGAGATTCTAGATGAGGTGATGTACAGTAAGACCCTTTGTATGGATGCCAAGCAGGCCTGGGGGAACCACTATGATGTCCACAGTCTATACGGCTACGCTATGGTGCTGGCTACTGAAAAGTGAGTGCATCCATAATCGGTGACAGAGATAGTCTGGCCAGCTTGTTATACAGAAGCCAACTCACTGCCACCCCCTCACAAAGCAGTGACACATTGGCCAACTCTAAATGCACTCTGCAATGTGAAAATTGAGCAACACATGCACACACGCACACACACACACACACACACACACACACAAGCAAAATTGAAAATCAACTTTTGGAAGCAGAGGTTATTGAACAGTGGCCCTGGAAAATGTGACAGAGCTGGCATGCAAAAGTTTTGTCAGTTTTCTTGCACTGCACTGACTTATGCCCTGCTCCGATTCTTAGGCTATGACTCTTTCAGACAAATAGTAAGTTGGATACCATGTGCAGAAATATGTTTTAATGAGCCCGGCTCCCGGGGTGCTTGAATTTCTCATCTGGGTCTGGCACTGGAACTGTTTAATGGCCCATTATGTTCACAAACCTACAAAGGGGTTCACCGTGACTGTAAGGCATAATGACTAAAGCATTGGAATTCATATGATCATGGATATCTGCCAAATGGCACCACACATGGTGGCTTGATGACACATATTTGGCCTTTTATGCTTAAGAACCCTCTCAGTTCATATTTAATCCCATATGTATCACGCTGACAAATGTCAAACCAGTTATTGTGCAGTCTTTGTCATTTGTGCTAATAGATGGATTACCCAACAAAATGGTATAACATACAGTGCCTTGAAAAACACATATCCATTGAACCTTTCCATCTTTTGTCACGTTAAACCTATAGTTTGTTGAAATTTAGCAATTTATGACCTGACATGTTGAATTGATAAAGCCTGGGAAGTGGAACATCTTCAACTTTGTAATAGAATTCCTGTTGTGATTTTTTTTATTTTTTTATTTTTTACTTTTTTGGGGATTACCTGGCTAGTAGCAAGCCAGTTTCGTTTAGGAGAGTGCCTATAAACATAAGTTTTATTGATCTGGAGTGATATAATCAAAACTTCAGACCTTATTTTGTTTTTATAAATAGCAATACCTAAGCTTCATAATGTCACCAGACATTATACAAAGGGACTTCCTGACACAATGGCAGGTGGTAAAGAAAAATGTTCAATTTGTAAGGATTATATATTTTTTTTTGAGGCATACCTGTTAGAAAACTTTGACTTAAAGGTAGTTTTCTAAGATGTTATGTCATTTTAGTGTCTGGATTTGCCAGATGGTGTCTTTATGGACTCATTTTTACGAACATCTCAATTACTGCAAAAATCAATATTTTCACAATTTTTTTGCACTATGTTCTGTCCGCATTGCGGCTCATTTTCCCAGCACATGGCCATTATTCTGAGCAGTCAAAACCTCATGGTCACTCTGGAAGAGCTGCTCAGGTGGGGAAATTCATCATCAGGACAGCTTTTAGTTATCCAATCCACAAATCTGGCTTTTATGGAAGAACGGAAATACAAAAGCCATATGTAGTCCTTTTTGCAACTTGCCACATCCTATGTAGAGGATTGGGGAAACACATGGAAGGAGAAGCTATGCTCAGATCATACCCAAACATAACATTTTGACCAAAATGCAAAACACTATGTGTTGCAGAAAAATAACATTGCATGTTGCCCTGAACACACTCTCAACTGTAAAACATGGTGGTGGCAGCATCACTATGGGGAAGCTTTTCTTCTGCAAGGACAAAGAAGCTGGTCATAGTTGATAGTGAAATACTTCTGGGTCCCGAGCCGGCTACCCTGCCTCTACACCATCTCGGCCCCCATCTGGTAATACTTGGAAATTTCCATTCACAGACAAGAGCTATCCATTCATTCAGCCTTTATTTATACAGGTTATTCCCACTGAGCCCCTGGGACTCATTTACTAGAGAGACCTGATTTTAACAAAGATTGATGGCAACATTAGACAACAAAGACAACAATAGACAATCATTTAAAAAAGCATACAAATTTAGAAGTACAAATGAAAGATAATGGTATTAAAAACAAAACAAAAACAGATTGTAAAGTGATATAGAATACTAAAAAAATAAGAACATGTCTGTTCATAAATCAATCCATAAAACATTGGGCAAAATGTTCAATATCTTCCTTTAAAGACGAGCATAGCAATCATAGCAAAATGTGGCTCTACGAAGTATTGACTCAGGGGGACTATCCACAAGGGCATGATGCACTTTTCAGTTTTCATAGTATGTTTCTTTTTTGTAATAAATACATAAATATAAATACAGTACATCATTTTCCTTCCACTTCACCATTATGCAGTGGTAGTATTGCTTTATCAATGACAGGAATTCTCAGTAAAATAATTTGAAGTTTGTGGTTGTACTGTGACAAAATGAAGAAAAGTTCAAGAGGCACGGATACTTTTTCAAGGCACAGTATCTTTCAAAGTTTTGACATCACTTTACTGCTGTGTGAAGATACATTAAAATGACGGCTATAAAACAGCAATTTGAGAATAGCAAAGGAAATTCACTAAAGCATATCATGAACTGTACTAGTGCCTATATCCTTTAACATACAACCACTGACAGGCTAAACGAGCAAGATCTACGATCGCATTACAATGAAACATTCTGCCAAGACATATTAGGGTTGCCCAGGCTTGCAAATATTTTTGACACATATTATCCAGCTAAACATTAGACTGCATGAAGATACATTTTACTGCACTAACTTTATTTTTTCAGTCCATATAAAAGACGACGCCAAGCTAAAAAGATCAGCCCATAATGCACAGAATAGCATCAATTTAAATATATTAATTAGTCAGTACTAAATTAATACTTTATTTAATTTATAAAAGAGGTAAATTGGTGAATACATGTCATTTGCATTTAAAATTACACCTTATAACTGCAAATAAAGAGAAGTATGTATGACTTGACATGGTTTGACTTTTAAATCATATATATATATATATATATATATATATATATATAATAAAAGTGTACAAAAAATAATTAGTAAATCTTCACTATTACTAATACTTTAACTTAAAACATGAGCTCCAAATCTGCAGTTATGTAAGAATCCAAACCAGAGCATCTGTAGTGCTGTGTTTTGTTTGCAAAGGGATACACAGAAAAAGTGTAAATATAATCCATCAACATTATGGAGGCTTTACTGCAGCTTGCAACTTGCATTTAAATTTACATCAGTCACAAAACAGAATGAGACCTATTAATGAAATTGTTATGTACAATTTTCCTCCTACCTTACTATCCATTTATTTATGCCACGTGCACTGTCTGTGAAAAAAAAAAGAAGTTTATCTTAAAAGCATATTTATAAATAAAGTGTTTTCTATGGTCGGTTGTGTTGGTTTCTAATAATTTCCTATGTCAATAAGGTTGATTTACAATATCAAAGGTCATGCTCAGTAATCTAGGTGAAAATCCAACAGTGTTCAGTCAGATCATCTGGAAGGTTCCTTTTTTTTGCTGAGACATTTAGTCCTTCATCCAAAAGACTTCTTCAATCTGAGGAGCCACAGACAAACTGATTCCCCACAAACAGACCACTCCATAGTGGGGAAAAAGACAAAAACAAACAAAAAAAAAACAGTTTGCTGGTGTTCAGATGGCCTCCGAGCCATATTATTATGGGGCCATTTTATGACAAGCCCGTCCAGATGAACTGACTGAAAATTGATGGATTTTATATGGGGATTATTGAGCATGAACTTTGGTGTTTTGAATCACTTTGGCATGACTGCCCCATAGGAGATGATGGGGGAGAGGGTGGGCCCCAGAGGCCATCTTAGCACCAGAAAACTGTCACCCCCCACCCCCCCAACCCCCCCCACACACACACACACATTATGGAGTATGCTGTTTGTAGGGAATCAGTTTGCTTGGTGGCTCCTCAGGTTGAAGAAGTCCTTTGGATTAAGGACGGAACGTCTCAGCAAAATAATAAACTGTCCAGATGACCTGACTCAACATTGCTGGATTAATTTACAATGTTTTTTTTTTTTTTTTAAGGCTAATGAAAAATTTTAACAGTTTAACAAAGACGTTTAACAAAGTCCTATAAACCATTAGGTGCTAAAAAAAAGCAAAACAAATAACAACAAAAAGCTAAAATAATATAAATGAATACAAGAGTAAAGTAGTTGATTTATTGTTTCTTAAATACAGCCAGTATCTTACTTATCTGTAACTTTTGCCAACAAGTTGTTAATGGTTGCAGGTGTCTGGAACATATCTCAAACCTGTCTTAGTGTGTTTTATTAGAGCTGTACTTTTCATAATGAATATGGATGAACACTTTGTGCAAATATTTAAAGGGAATCAAAGTAAAACTTTGCACTTTTTTTTTACATTTCTATATTTCCAACAGTCACAGCGACATAAGAAACTACATTAAATGATGCTGTTTGAAACTGAGCACACCTTATATAGCAAAAGACACTCATAATGACTCTGATCTCCCTCTGCAGGACAACTTTTCAGACCACCCTGAAAAAAAAAATGCTGTGGAACAGCTTAAAAAGCACAATAAAGAGCTTAGGTTGTTGACCGAGCTTCATAACTCCACAGATCTCAGTTTGATTGAGTGTCCTCTGAATGCATCCCCAGAAGCAGCACATACATATCCACATGGCACAAAATGAAAGCCATCAAAGATCTAGTTCCAAATACCAGAGAATGCACCCAGGCTATATTGGCCGATGAGTCAGAGGTCATCATGTGGGACACGGGAGTTACTCGTTATATCAGATCAGCAGTGTGTATGTTGCTGCTTGTTGGTGAATTGTGTCAGCGTTAAAGCAATTCAATATTTCCTGATGCATGCTTCAATATTGTCTTGGATTCACACAGTAATTTTGCAACAGCCATTTCCATTACCACGGCATACATACATTAAAACACAAGTGTTGCCTCTGTCCTAACAACTTTACTTTAATATATCCACATTTTTTTTTTTGTCTGGGTGAAAATATTGAACATATGTTAAAGAAGATACAGGCAGAATTCATAAAAAATAGAAACTTGGTTCCAACTGAATAAGTTATCATTTAATCTGGAAGAAAAAACAAAAACAACTACATGATAATAGAAAGAAAATTATCAAAGTCCCATTTAAAATTGACAGTATTGAAATTCATAGAGTTAATGAAATACAATATTTGGGTGTTGTTATTGATGAGAAGCTGACATGGAAATTTCATGTAAATTAATAATAAAAATAACAATCAATTGCATTACTGTATAAAGTAAAATAGTTTTTGAATGACAAAGCTTTGTATATATTGTATAATGTAATAATTGTTGCATATGGTATCCATTGTAGTGAAGTTTGGGGGAAAACATGCAAAACAATTACAAATCCTATTTTATTTCACAAAAAAAGAACTATAAGAATTATTAGTAAGTATGGTGCCATGTGAAGGATGCCTCATATTTTTGTTTTCACTTTGGCAATTGTTCAAGCCTGAATGTTTGTTTTAAGTTATTTTTATTTTTTTATTAAAATAAGGGGCATATATAAGAATTTTATTCTTCATTCTGTTTTCTTTTCATTCAATCGTTTTATTTTTAATAGATTTGTTTAGTTTATTTTGTTTGTTTTATTTGAATTAATAACTAAATATATGTTTTCTTTAACTTTTCATAGTTTTCACAATGAAGAGGTCATTTTCTATTGGGCAGAGGGGGGATTAACAAGGCTACATTATATAAAATGTGTTACATATTGCAATTATTTGCTTTATTACTTGATTTTAAAAAGCAAACGTAAAAAAAAAGAAAGATTATTGATCAAACTTAACATCTTGTTGCACAATAAATTGATGTTTTACATGCAACACATTTAAGTAAAATACGTTTATGTTAAGTCTTTCTACACAATAAGAAGCTCAGTTGTTTTTTTTTCCACGTTACACACTGAAGCCAATACATCTGTAGAGATACTTTTTATACCATTTATAAGTAAATGTTTATAGCAAAATGTAAACATTTGCGTGCAAATACATGAAACACAATACTTTCTATGTACAAGTGTTATTGAATGAGATATTTAGTGGGTCATACTTAGTGTTTTTGTGTATGTGTGTGAATATCATGTTCTGCATTTTTTTTTTTTTTTTTTACCCGACATGCAGACAGATGAGGGGAACTCAAGAATAATGTAAAGATTTTATTAACCAAAACAAAAAGGCTGGCGTGGCAGCAAAACTTACGTTTAAATACAGAAGCTAGGAGACACGGAGGGAGACAGAGCATGAACACCTTGGGGTGACAAGACAAGCAGAAAGAGACATTATTTAAAGGCCAAAACTAACAAGAGGGAATAACAAACACCTGGGGAGGATAATCAGGAGCAGGTGAGAGTGGCAGGAGCAGGAGCTGGCAACATGACGGACTGGGTGGATGAATGAAGAATCTAAAGAATTGACACAAGACAGATACAAAACAAACAACAGATCATCTCAGAAAAACACAATATATGAATCTCCTAAGAGAGAACTGCTGAATCACATCTTCCATGCTGAAGAAGGCTCATAGTTCACTGCCTCCTTCCCCCTCTCTTACCCATATTTCTTCTTTCTTCGTCTTCTAATTACAACATATTATTAGCTGAAGATACATTTAGTAAACATCAGCAAACGTTTGTATTTTCATGGAGATCAATGCAGCTTTGATTCTTCTCAAGCTAAACAAAACTACGCAGTGAGAAATGAATAAAAACTAGTCTGAGACCAAATATTTGTTGTGTATTATATGTGTGCTTATTATTTTTGCTCTTTCACTTGTCTTTATCTTCATGACACCCCCCCCCCCCCCCTCCCGCCCCCGCCCCACTCCCCTCCACTTCCGCTGCATCTGCTTCTTCTTCTCTATTCCATAGAGCTCTGCAGCGTGTGTTCGGGTCAAACCGAACCCTGATGCTGACCCGCTCCTCATTTCCAGGTGTGGGAAAATATTCAGGACACTGGTTGGGGGACAACGCTGCCAACTGGAATGACATGAAGTGGGCCATACCAGGCATGCTAGAGTTTGGGCTATTTGGAATCCCCTATGTAAGTACCAAACCACCGGTTCACACTCCTACACATATGTGCCCAGACATATGTGGCATCCACATGTACAACGTTCACAACTCACACTTGATGAGAAAAAATAAATAAATAAATCGATAATCTGGATAAAAATTTGTAGAGCAAATCAAATGAAAAATAAGTTTGTCTGTTTAATACATGTACTTTTTTTTTAACTTGTGATTTTTTTTCTTTGTTACATATTGCAAAACAAAAAAAGAACATATCTAAAAAAGAAGAAGAGCAAAAAAACAAAAAAGGACAAAGTGTCAGGTGACATCTTATTTTATTATTTAAGGTGATTGGTTCCTGTAAAGATTTCTGAACAATGTCCATGTTTCCCACAGTTCTTCAATTTTTGATTGTTGTAGTCTTACAATGTATCTCTCCATTTGATGAATTTCTTCCACTACGTCCATGCAATTGTTTTATAAATGTACTTTTTAATGATCTAAATATTATAGCAGTGTTAGTATTTACATTTTTATTCAGCTTCAGGTTTTCTGTCTAGATAATTCTGTAAAAATAGCTTTAAATTATTCATACTAAAAGGTAAAAAAAAACAACAACAAGCAATTAATTGTTAGGCCACAAAAACAAGAAAAATATATTTTTCTATATATTTTAATTAATTAGTTTTTTTTTTAATTGAGCAGCTTGGTGGGGCAGTGGTTACAGCTGTCACATCACAGGGAGAGGGTCACAGGCTCGTCTCTCCGCCCGGTACCTTTCTGTGTTCTCCGTGTGCATGTGTGGGCTCTTTCTGTGTACTTTGGTTTCCTTCCACATACCCAAAACATGCATGTTAGGCTAATTGGTTGTACTAAATTGTTCCTAGGTGTGAGTGAGAGAGTTAAGGGTTGTTTGTCTCATTGGTCTCTCTGTGTCCTTGTGGTGGACTGGAGACCTGCCCAGGGTGAACCCCACCTCTCTCACAGTGACCATTAGAGAAAAGAACCAGCTTCCCAGCAACCTGGAACAAGAAATGAATGGGTGGATGAATGGATAACTTGGATGAAAAAAGGCTGAAATTATAAACTTTTTTGTAGGTTTTATTTTTAACATGGGAATATCATGCATGTGCAGTAGTTCACGTCTTTTGAAGTGATGTTTAAATATGGATTGTTCTAGATAACTCTGTGAATTACCTCAGTTTGAAGAAGCCGAGTTCAATTTGGACCAGACTGGTGAGCTAACAGATTGTCCAAGCGAGACCAAAACCGAACTTGATTGCTGTACTCTTTAAACAACTCCCTACCAAATGTTTTGTACCGCTTCATCCAAATGCTATTTATAAACCTTTATACGTACATCACTGTCAGTTTTGAAAGCAAAATGTTTACGTACAGTCTGTCATTTGCAAGCACAAACAGAATGATTATCAAGTTGTGTAGAACTTCTAGTTCACTAAATGCAAAAATATCAAATATTGTTTGCTGAAAAACCTTGCAATGCTTCATTTATGGGTGCACAAAGTGTTATAACAGCACCTGCATTAACCGTTTTCAAAATGTTCTGATTAGAGTTGTTCTAAGATGACAGTCTACATTTTGGAACAGGCCTGGCTCAGACTTTTAGATTGTTATCGTGGTCAAAGTTCTTCAAACTAATTTTGTTCAAGGACACATTTACACAGAGTAAGATCTCAATTGTTCATTTTTTGTCCTTAGAACCACACTTCAAAATACATTATATATCCCGATAACAATAAAAAAGGCCGAGCAAAGCCTGTTCCAAAATGTAGACTGTCATC